TATTAAGAATGAGTTGGCTAGCGCAACATGATCCTGTGGTGGCGTGGCACCAGAGGACAGTCAGCTTTGGGTCAGACTACTGCCTGCAGCACTGCCTAGGAGGGGAAATGCCAAGGATGAGTGTAGCCAGAGTGGCAAGCATGGCAGTGGAACGGAGAGGGGAGGTGCCGCCACAATATGCTGATCTAAAGGAGGTCTTTAGTGAGAAAGAGGCAGATAGGCTGCCCCCCCACAGACCGTTTGACTGCCAAATCAATTTACTCCCTGGGGCGCAGCTGCCGGTGGGTAAGCTGCATGCCATGTCAGACAGGGAGATGAAGGAGCTACGGGAATTTATCGACAAGAACCTAAAGAGAGGATTTATAAGAGAATCTAAGGCAGTAGGGGGAAGTCCAGTATTCTTTGTGGACAAAAAGGACTCAGATAAGCCCAGACTTGTAGTGGACTTCCGGGCCGTGAACTTGGTGTCTGAACCCGTGACTTTTCCTATGCCCCGGATTGACAACATTCTGACGAGAGTGCGGAAGGGAAAGATTTTTACCAAACTCGACCTAAGAGGGGCTTACAACTTGATCAGGATGAGGGAGGGGGATGAATGGAAGACCACCATGTTCACACCCCTGGGGGCCTTTGAATATTTAGTTATGCCTTTTGGATTACAATCAGGCTCCGCCTGTTTTCAAGGTTTCATGCACCACGTGTTGGGGCCTCTGCTTTACAAGAACTGTGTAGCATTCCTGGACGATGTCTTGATTTATTCGGGAAACGAGGAGCAACATGTGCGAGATGTCAGGGAAGTGCTACGATTGCAGAAACACCAGTTATGGGTAAAGCTAGAGAAATGTCAGTTCCATACCCGAGAGGTGGAGTTCCTGGGGTACAAGTTGTCTGACAAAGGCCTAGCGATGGACCCAAGCAAGGTGCAAGCAGTGTTGGAGTGGAAACCCCCCAAGACACGGAAGGACGTACAGAGGTTTCTAGGCTTCAGTAATTTCTACAGGAAGTTCATCAAGAACTTTGCCCACTTGACAGCACCAATCACCGACTGTCTCAGTAGTAAAAGGAAGTTTGTGTGGACGGAGGAAGCCCAGCGGTCCTTTGAAAGGTTGAAGAAGGCGTTCGCGTCAGAAGAGCAACTATTGCACGTGGATTTGGAGAAACCACTGAGGTTGGAGACGGACGCATCAGACAGAGCCATCGGAGCGGTTCTTTTGCAGCCAGGACTGGGCAAGCAAGAATGGAAACCGTGTGCCTTTTTCTCGAGGAAGCTGAGCAAGTCGGAGCAGAACTACACCGTGTACGACCGAGAACTGTTCGCCATCTACACTGCCTTCCGTAGGTGGCGACACCTGCTGATAGGGGCCCAACACAAGATCCAGGTTTGCACGGATCACAAGAACTTGGAATACTGGAGGACAGCGCGAGTGCTCAACCAGAGACAAATTCGCTGGGCGCAGGAATTCTCCAAGTTTTCTTTTGAAATCCGATATGTGCCAGGGGAGCAAAACGTGAGAGCAGACGCTCTTTCGCGGAAACCAGAGTACTTCGAAGGAGAGGGGCCGCCGGAGACACGACACGTCATACCGGAGGACCGATGGGTGTGTGGGGGAACTCTGGTGGGCACGAGAGAACTGGCAGGGCTCACTAGGAACGATGAATTCGCCCAGACGAAAATCAGGGAACTACGAGATGGGGGGGAGGCACCAGAAGGGTTTGAAGAGAAGGAAGGGGTGTTGTACTATAGGGGGGGCAATGTACGTACCGGGGGAAGTTTTAAGAAGAAGGGTACTCAAACAACTACATGACACCCCCACAGCAGGACACTTTGGACAACACAAAACTATGATGTTGGTGACCAGGTAATTCTGGTGGCCACGGGTGAGGGAAGATGTACGAGAATATGTACGGGGATGCGACCGATGCCAAAGGGCCAAAGGGGAACGCAAGGTACCAGCGGGGTTGCTGGAACCCTTACCCATACCTAACAAACCCTGGGAGGTGGTGTCTATTGATTTTATGACGGATTTGCCCAAATCAAGGGGAAAAACAGCAGTAATGGTAGTAGTCGACTTGCTAACCAAGATGTGCCATTTCATATCCTGCTCACACGCGGTGACGGCGGAAGAAACGGCACGGTTGTTTGTAGAGCACATTTTCAGGTTGCATGGCGCCCCCTTGAGGGTTATCTCCGACCGCGGAAAACAATTTACTTCCCGGTTCTGGAGGAAGCTCATGAGTCTACTTCAAGTCGAGGTGAGTTTCTCGACAGCGAGACACCCAGAAACCAATGGGCAAGCAGAAAGGGCAAACAGCATACTCCAGCAATACTTGCGCTGTTACGTAAGTGAGAGGCAAAATGATTGGGTAGAAAAACTAGCGGTAGCGGAATTTGCGTACAATAACGCTGAACATGTGTCCACTGGGAATGAGTCCATTTATGGCCAACTATGGGTGTCATCCCAGGGCATTTCCAGGGAGTGAGGGACAAGACTGGAGTGTGCCCGCTGCTGAACAGTTTGTGGAAGAAATGGAAGCAATACACCAACAACTTAAGATGAACCTAGAGCGGGCCAAGGAGAATTACAAAAAGCAAGCAGATAAGCACCGCAGGGAAGGGGAAACCATACGGGTGGGGGATCGCGTGTGGCTATCCGCTCAAGGTTTACCCTTTAAGGGAGGGTGCAAGAAGTTGCAGCCTAGGAGGCAGGGGCCATTTGAGGTTACACAACAGATAAACCCTGTGGCATTCAAGCTCAGGTTGCCTGAGAGTATGAAAATACATCCTGTGTTCCACAGATCCTTGCTCACACCACACAGGGAGGGGAGGGAGTTTGTGGGGCGAGAAGTTGAAACCATGCCACAACCACAGGTAGAAGAAAGGGAACACCACAACTCGGCCGCGGAAATAGTGGACTCAAGGTGGAGAGGTCAGCAAGTGGAGTATTTGGTGGAGGGGGAAGGAGAGCCCTGGTCGGAAAACACGTGGGTGCCAGCGGGAGCAGTGGGTGACGAGCATATGGTGGAAGTGTTCCACCGCCGGTTCCCGGATAAGCCCAAACCCTTAGAGAGGTTCTGGGAGGAACAATTTGGTACCACAGATGACGAGGAGAGTTTCGAAGGGTTTTCAGAATCCAAGGAAGAATCGGACTGGGAGGGGCGCCCCATGGGTGGGAACTTCGGCAGGTGGGAAGAGGTTTTTGCACCCACGGAGGATGAGGACAGCTCCTTCCGGGGTTTCCCCATCTCACCGACCGGAGGAGAGGAAAAGAGAGAGCCCACCAGTCGAACGGGGAGTGAGGGGGGCCCTGGAGGGGAGGTGGATGTCAGGGAACTGACATCAGAAACACGGGAGAAGGAGAGGGTCTCAGACTCTGCAGGTGAAGGTCCCAGCACAAGGGGGAGACTCAGCTCAGTGGAAGGGGAAGGAATTACACGTTACACCAAGAGTCCAGGAGAGCAAGGGGAGGAGGAGGTGGAAGGGCTCCGAGATTCTTCTCTGGAAGTCAGTGAAAAGAGCCCAGGCACCCCGCTACCCACGCCCACCCTGCGCAGGAGACTCCCGCGCAATGAGAGGCGGAGACGATTAGGTGTCAAACAGCTTTTATGTTGGCAGAGGTTCAAGAAGCGCCCACAGACAGATTCTGCCAGTGACTGACACAATCAAGCGGAGATGGGCTGTGCAGTCCGGAAGATTTAACCAGGCAACCAAGCACCCAAACGGGGTCGGTTTTACGCACGAGTAACTCCAAACCACTACATCCGCTAATAGGGTTGCTTCGCAAGACGAAAAAACCGCTAGACGAAGAGACTTGCGGAACGGATTGTTTTCGTCTTGCGAGGCACCACTGTAGTCCTTTTGTAAGGTTCCATGTGCTGGGTATATAATTCAAGAGGATATTTTGCTCAGTAAATATAAGGTTGTTCCGTACAGTTCTGTTCATAGTTTCAGTTATAGGACCATGAAAAAACGTATGTTTTAGAGAAGCATTATCCCTAGTGCATCTCCAACAGTTAAGATACCTGAGATAGCCCTTTTTAAAACAAAGGTAATGGGGTCCAGTATATTCTAAATATTATTCTAGCAGTCTAACATCTATGTTCCATACTCACTAATGAGGGACACTTAGGATACAAGATCAAAAGGATATTATGGAGATAACTGCAAAAGCAAAGTTCACGGTTCATCTCATTTGCAGCAGAGACCCTGGGAGCAGGAGATCCTTCCCTTCCCTCAATAGGGCCAACGTTGACATTCACCAGCAGAACTCTAACGAGGGACTTAGAGAGCTGCTGTCGCTGAGCCCTTATATAGAGGATTTTAAACACGATCTAATAGCAGGAGGGCTCTTTAAGTTCTGTTGCCATCCTTCCTTATCTCCTCCGTTGGCACAGAGCAAAGTTACTCCCTCTGTTCACAGCGGTGAGCCAAAGTCTATGTCTAATTGCCAATTCCATGGCTGGGTCAAGACAGGTCTGTCCGCTAGTTGACTCCTTATCAGGCCAGCTGTCTAGACCTCTGGTTGATGCCAAGTCCTCATCATACAGATAAATTCATGGGAAAGTCCTCATTATATGTACAGATAGAGTTAAAAGGATTTAAAGCTACCATTACATTGAGATTAGGAGACACCACTTTCTGAAATTATCTGGCAATACACATACTCAAAGTACATTTGTGGTTTCTCTCCTGTGTGGACTCCCTGAGGCAGCACCAGCCTGCCCCTTCCAGGCAAAACATTTCCCACACTCGAAACATTAATGGGTTTCCTTTTTTTGTGGATTCTCTGGTGCCTTTGAAGGTCCGAATGAGCAGCAATTCATTTCCCACACTCCTGACACTTGCATTGAATTTCCTTCGTGGAGTCTCCAGTGCTGATAAAAGATTCATTTCTTTACAAAGCATATTCCACACTCCTAATGTCTGTCCGTCCTCCTTTTGGGATGGACACTCTGGTGTGCCACGAGGGCTGACCACTGATCAAAATATTCCCCACAGTCCCAACATTTATATGCTCTTTATTCCACATGGAGTCTTTGAAGGTTTCCACCTTCAACATTTCCCCCACTCTACACATTGGGAAGCTCTCCTCCTGTGTGGACTTTCTGGTGTTTGTGAAGATATTGTGACTGAGAAAAACATTTCCCACACTCCAAGCATTTATAGGGTTTCTCTCCTGTGTGGATCCTCTGGTGGATCACAAGGCGTGACTTCCGAGGAAATGATTTCTCACACTCCAAGCATTTATAGGGTTTCTCTCCTGTGTGGATCCTCTGGTGGATCACAAGGGGTGACTTCGAAGGAAATGATTTCTCACACTCCAAGCATTTATAGGGTTTCTCTCCTGTGTGGATCCTCTGGTGGATCACAAGGCATGGCTTCTGACGAAAACATTCCCCACACTCCAAGCATTTATAGGGTTTCTCTCCTGTGTGGATCCTCTGATGGGTCACAAGGGTGTCTCTCCTTGAAAAACATTTCCCACACTCCAAGCATCTGTGAGTTTTCTCTCCTGTGTGGGTTCTCTGGTGACCCTTAAGGGATTTTGCTTCAGTAAATGACATTCCACAGTCTAAACATTTATGTGGCTTTTCTCCTGTGTGGACTCTCTTATGAATAATAAAATGTGATGAAGTGGAAAAACGTTTTCCACATTCTCCACACTCATATGGCCTCAATCCTGTGTGTATCCTGTCGTGTACACGAAGATCTGATAGGCCAGCAAAGCATTTTCCACATTTCATGCATTTGTAGGGTTTCTCTCCTGTATGGACCTTCTGATGTCTGCAGAGGTGTTGTTTTTGGGAAAACAATCTCCCGCACTCCACGCATTCAAACGGTTTTTCTCCCGTATGGATTCTCCGGTGGATTACAAGTTCTGATGCTGAAATAAAACATTTCCCACACTCTGCACATTTATGAGGCCTCTCCCCGGTGTGAACAGTCTGATGCCTCAGAAGGTCAGCTTTCTCATGAAAACATTTCCCACACTCTCTACATTCATGGGGTTTCTCCCCTGTGTGGATTCTCTGGTGTCGCCTGAGACTTACATTTGTGGGGAAACATTTGCCACACTCCAGACACTTATGGGGCCTTTCTCCTGTGTGGGTTTTCTGATGGGTTACAAGGCCGGAACGGGAAGTAAACTTTTTTCCACATTCAAAGCATTTATACCGTTTCTCCCCTGTGTGAACCAACCGATGGCTCCAAAGCTGTGCGTTTTGAGGAAAACATTTCCCGCACTCCCAGCATTCAAAGGGCTTTTCTCCAGTGTGGAGTCTCTGATGGATCACAAGGCCTGACTTGAGAGCAAATGATTTTCCACACTCTGGGCATTCATAGGGTTTTTCTCCAGTGTGGGTTCGCTGATGGGTAACAAGTTTTGACCTAACAGAAAAGCATAACCCACACACACTGCATTTGTGCGGCTTCTCTCCTGTGTGGACTTTATGGGGTCCATGAAGCTGTGATCTCTTGGGGAACCCGATCCTACTCTCGGCATATTTGTGGGGTTTCTCTCCTGTGTGGCCTCTTTCATGTTTCACAAAATCTGAGAGTTGGGCAAAACCTTCCCCACACTCCAAGCAGCGATATGACTTATCTCCTCCTGAATGGACGTTCCGGTGGATCAGAACGATGGGCTGATGAGCAAGAATCTTCCTGAACTCCAAAGACTTAGGGGTTTCCGAATCGCTGGCAAGCTCTGAACTCTGACCAAAACATTCCCCGCTCTCAGAGCTTTCCTGGATCTTCTCCCCTGTGTGGATTCTCTGGTGTCTAGCAAGAGCCAATCCGAAGGCAAAGCATTGGCCACACTCTGGGCAGAAGTGTTTCCTCCTCGAGTTTCCTGCTGAGAGAGGGAAGAAAGCGGAATTGGGGTTTGAGGATGGCAGAGAAGTAGCCAAAGGTTACCAGACGTCCCCATTTCCCAGGGACAGTCCCCGGATTTACAAATCAGTCCCCTGGCAAAATCCAGCTATTTAGTAGGAAGTTGAAAAGTGTCCCTGGATTCATTGAAACAAAATCTGGTAACCTTAAAATAGCCTCAGAATCCAAACTGAAGAAGGAGGAGGAGGAGGAAGATGGAAAGGCACACTCTCCCCCACTTCTTTCAGCTCTAGGTCCTTTTCGAGGCTCAAGAGAAATTCCACTTGTTCAGGTTTCCACCCAAATCCCTTCGAACAATGATGCCCTTAAAGGTTCCTCCTCTCAGTCCAGGGAGGAATCACCAGAATGGGTAGTGCCCACAGAAGATGCTTTAAAGAAAAAACAAAACCCAAATGTGCTCACAGAGCTAGAAAGCTTGGCAGTCGCCATCCTGGCATTTGCCTCTTTGCTCTCATTCCCCACTTTCTTCTTCCTCTCCTTGATCCTCCCAACTTCTGGGCCTGAGGGACTCAGCATAGGGCAGAGCTAGAGGAGGAACAGCAAAGACGGTGGAGGGAGGAGAGGGCAGAGGTGTAAAGGGAAAAGCGAAGTTTCTCTCCCTCTTGCATCGTGCAAAAGGCAGGGCCCCTCCTGAAGCTGAACTTTGGAAAATGCAGGACAGCCCAAAGCAGGGATTGTGAGAAGGTTGAGATTCTAAGTTTTCATGTTCTTAAAAATAGTAAATTGAGGAGGAAGGACAGGGGTGGGGAAAGGAAAAACAGTGGCCAGGTCTGTGGGAGAAGCAGCTTTAACACAACAGGATCCTTACTAACCCTATGAATGAAGTAACAGAGAAGATTTTTCTTGCCAATTCTCATCAAGGGAGGAGAAACTCTGAACGGACTCGGCATCCCACCCAAACTGCCTCACCTGAGCTGGTGTCCAAAATGGCAGCCCCTGTTCCGTCTGAGATCTGATACTGTGGCGTCCTGGGCTCTTCCGCTTGCTCTGCGCTGGGGATGAGGCTGGTCTTGGGAAGCGGCAGTGCTACGCGGGAAAGAAGTGAGAAGAAGGAAGAAGAAGAAGAAGAAGAAGTGAGAAGAAGGAAGCATGGAGGAAGCATTTGGTTTCATGGCCCAAACTATCCCCAGCGGCCGGTCATCCAAAGTTCTCTCAAACTTTTCTGAGGAAGAACCCATAACTAAACAGTACTTTGGGTTAGGGGGCTGCATGTTTGTGTGGGGCAAGGTGGCCCGTTGCTCTGTGCTGGAAACAGAAGGGAGGACGGCTGATTATGGCTGCAGGGTGGGGGGTCAGGACTGCACTGCCAGGACCCCAGGGAGGGAACATGGTTGGCGCTTCCAGACTGTTGCTGTTACCCTGGTGGGAGTCCCTCACATGCCAGCAAACCTATTTTGCACAGCTAGAGTGCAGCGCAGTGGTTAAAGTGCCAGACTGGAATCTGGGAGATCAGGGTTCAAATCCCCCTCAGCCATGAAACTCATCAGGAATATTGGTCCAGTCATTCCCTCTTAGGGCTACCCTACCTCACAGAACTGTTTATTATTATTATTATTATTATTATTACAGTGGTACCTCGGGTTACATACACTTCAGGTTACATACGCTTCAAGTTACAGACTCCGCTAACCCAGAAATAGTACCTCAGGTTAAGAACTTTGCTTCAGGATGAGAACAGAAATCGTGCAGCAGTGGCGCGGCGGCAGCGGGAGGCCCCATTAGCTAAAGTGATACCTCAGGTTAAGAACGGACCTCCAGAACAAATTAAGTTCTTAACCCGAGGTACCACTGTATTCTTATTTTTTATTATTTCCTGTCCATCCAATATTTTTCATTTTGCACAGAATCCTACCTTAAAGCCACACAACAGTCTGAGTTCTCCACACCTATGCTAGATTACTAATAAGAATACTTTATTATTTGTACCCCACCCATTTGAATGGGTTGCCCCAGCCACTCTGGGCAGCTTCCAGCACATATAATAACATAATAAAACATCTAACATCAAAAACTTCCTGATACAGGGCTGCCTTCAAAAGCTTATATAGTTTTTTTAATTCCTTGAAATCTGCTGGGAGGGTGTTTCACAGGGCGGGCGCCACTGCCGAGAAGGCCCTCTGCCTGGTTCCCTGTAATTTCACTATTTGCATTAAGGGAACCGCCAGAAGGCCCTTGGAGCTGGACCGCAGTGTCCAGGCAGAGTGATGGGGGTGGAGACACTCCTTCAGGTATACAAGGCCATTTGGGGCTTGTTGTGGGGATTAAATGGGGGGGGGGAAGACCCGTGTGCCCCACATTGCGATCCTCGGAGGGGGAAAAGTCGGGATCAAAATGGATGGCGTTAAGAATACAGTACATTTGCAGCTCTGGTGCAACAAACCTGCTCCCCACCTACCCCTCCACCCCAAAAGAAGAGCGACAAGAAAACGTCCCGGAAGGACTGCTTCAGACTCAAGGAAGGAGGCTCCTTACCCCGAGAGGCCATGTTCCTCTCATTCTCCAGCATGGCCACCCTTGCTCTTCGGCCAACGTCCAGCAGGGAGGGCCCTTCCTCAAAGCTTTGTGGTCTCTGTAATGACAAAAATGCCCTCACCAAAACTGCAGCACCTCAGAAACATCTTTGGTGGCAAGCGCAGAGTGAGAATCTCGGTCTTCCCCATAGATCAGGCATGGCCAAACTTGGCCCTCCAGATGTTTTGGGACTACAACTCCCATCATCCCTGACCACTGGTCCGGTTAGCTAGGGATGATAGGAGTTGTAGTCCCAAAACAACTGAAGGGCCAAGTCTGGCCAATGCCTGCCATAGATGCTTGCAACTTCATTCTTTGGGTTGTTTTTATTATTATGATTATTCAAGATTTTCTTGGGTTACCAAAAAAGTGCATACATTGTATCCGTTTTCGGATTGTAAAAGTCCTTTTTTTCAGATCACTTATATTCAATGCGAGACTTTAATGCTGTATACCGGAGCTTTCCAAACTGTGTGTCGCGACACGCTAGTATACAGCATTGATGCATCTTTCTCATCTACTATTACTATGCTTCATATTGCTAGTTACCTCTGGTGATGTTCCATTTTACAAAATTTTACATTTTACCGTTTCATTTCAAAGAGGAATGAGTGAGTTTTCTTCTGCTCCCCAGAATCTTCCCTTCCATCTCTTTCACCCCGATGCAAACTTATCCGTGCAATGGGAAAAGCCAAAATGGCTTATTTCTCCCGCCGCCCTTTCCTGCCCCGCCCCCTCACCGGCATTCACGTGTTGCAGGGTTCAGACGGTGCCCTCTCACCCGTGTAGAGCTGCTTCCGAAGGGCGCCTCTGCCAGCAAAGACTCCTTCCTGCTCCCACCTTCAGCCTCCACCGCGAAGCCTCTTTGCACCCCAGCGATCTCGGTGGCGGGTCCCCTCCTGCAAAAGCCCCACACAAAATGGAATGTCCTCGTGTCCTTCGCTTCTTCCCTTTTTTTTCAGACCCAGAGGATTCTGGGAGGTGTAGTCTTTTCCTCCCTGGGAAGACAAAATATGCCTTTGGGCTCTGGGAAAGGCTGCTCATGGCCCCTCCTTTCTATTTACTCGCTTACAATCCAGCCTCGCCTGAGCTCTGCTTTCTTCCAATTGAAGTGCAGTGTTTGAGGAAACCCAAATGCTTGTTTGCAGAGCTATTGCACTACCAACCTCAGTTTATGCTTGGGATGGCCTAGTCCTTTGCTTCTTCCCTTTTCCCAGACCCAAAGGATTCTGGGGGGTGTAGTTTGTTCCTCCCTGGGGCAAAAAAAGTGCCTTTGGGCTCTGGGGAAGGGTGCTCACTTATTTTTATTTTCCCTTTCTATTTACTCGCTTACTGGCACACCAGTAAAGCATTGGTGCCCTTCCAAAAGAATGAGAAGATGAAACCAACTTGCATGTCAAGATGGTTGGATTCTAGACTTGGAAGGGACCCCGAGGGTAATCCAGTCCAACCCCCGGCAATGCGCCGCCCTTTTACCTCACGTGGGACTCGAACCCGTGACCCTAAGATTAAGAGTCCCCATCTAAACCAAAAGTACTGATCAGGGAGCGACCTGTGGCTGCTGGCTGCCTCTCAAGCTGCCCCACCTCACAGGGTTGTTGTTATGGTAGCTGTGGAAGCGGAGAGCAGCAGAGGCCGCCATGAGCCCCTTGGAGAAAAGGCGGGGTATTAAAAACGCAAAGAGGCAGCTGGGCTTGTGCTCCAGGTGGAAAGCCCTTCGAAGTCTCAGTTCGCAAGAGAGCATCTCAAGTCCCATCAGTTCAGGGCAAGAGGGAGATGGCAGGCAGCCTCGCTCCCTTCCAGTGTAAAATTGGGAATAAACAACTCGCTGACTTTTAGAAGACAATTGAAGGCGGCTCTATTTAGGGAAGTTTTTAATGTTGGCTGGGGAGACGCAGCCAGATGGGAGGGGGATAAATTATTATTACAGTGGACTCTCAGGTTGCGAACATGATCCGTGAGGGAAGCACTTTCTGTGCGCACACGGGTTGCGAGTCAACGCTTCTGTGCAAAGCACGATTTAGCGCTTCTGCAAATGCGCAAGCACCAAAACCCGGAAGTAACCTGTTCTGGTACTTTCAGGCTTGGCACAGTGCGCAACCTGAAATCACGCAACCCGAAGTGTCTGTAACCCGAGGTATGACTGTATTATTATTATTATTATTATTATTATTATTAAGCCCTCATCAAGATTCTCCCGAGAATTTGGCACTTTTCAAAGTGAGATCTTATTTATTTATTTCCTGAAAGTTGTCCACCGCTGGGCTGTTAAAAAAACGCGCCAATCTCAAAGCGGTTCACAGAGAGAACAGAACGGCAAAAATGTCAGTAAAAGCAACTCCTCAAAACATTCAGAAGATAAAACCAGCAACAAACTGAAAGCAGATTGAGACAGGCATTATCGGCTGCACTGGAGAATCAGCAAAGTCCTTTGGTGTTCTGGATTGAACAGCAATTATCCGTTGAGCTACAATCCCATGTCATCCGCATATGTCCCACGGTGATGTACGAAATATAATAAAAACAGCATGCAAAAAACCCCTGACAAATGGAAAAACAATAGGAAATGGACCCCTAAGGCCTGCCATCCTATTCACCCAGCTGGAAGAGCTTGTAGGAACAAAAATGAGTTCCACCTTTTTCTGGAAGGTACAGGCTTCTGAGATCTTTGGAAATTGCCCGCAAACTGTAGTGACATCCTGGGTACATAAGGCAGAAAGCTGTCAATCAATAACAGAAGGTCGCTTAAGCAATCTCCCTCAAGGGGTTTATTTCTAGAAATAACACACACTTGTGACCCGCAGTTAGTTTATACTTTTATTTAAAACGAGAAATAAGACAATGTTTGTGGCTAGGGTCCCCACAGTCCAAATACTTGAAAGCAGGGGGGTCACTGAAGTTCAGTGTTATTGTCCATAATATTATTAACGATCATCATCATCATTAAGCATAAGAAACCCTCTTGACACAATATGTACATGGCAGGTGGTGGGAGCAAACCGAAGGAGACTCTAGAGCTGGCTATTTTATTTATTGTTTATATTTGCTATTGTCTGAATTGCCACACTTCATCCGGAGATCGCAAGGCGGTTCACAAGATAAGAATACCAAATGAGAACGCAAAATGCATTAATAAAATGAAAGTGGAGCAGATTCCTGTGAGAGGCGGGAGAGACTCTCCTTCCTCGGAGGTTTCAAAGCAGAGGTTGCATGGCCGTCGGTCATGTATGATCCAATTCGAGATTCCTGCAGTACAGGGGGTCGGACCATCACACAAATGCATTCAAAAGGCCACAGAATGTTAATCAGCTAAAGGCCTGGTTATGGAGAAATGTTTTTGCCTGGCGCCTAAAGATATGGATTGAAGTTGCCAGTTGAGCCCCTCCCTGGGGAGAAGCATTCCACAAATGGGGAGCCACCACAAAAAAGGCCCGTTCCTGTGTTGCCACCCTCCTGACCTCGTGTGGAGGAGGCGCACAAAGAAGGGCCTCGTTTTACGATCACAGGGTCCGGGGTTGGTTCATGTAGGGAAGAGGCGGTCCTTGAGGTATTGTGGTCCTCGTCTGTTTAAGGCTTTCCAGGTCAGAACCAGCACTTCGAATCGGGCCTGGAAACTAAAGGCTGGCCGAATGATTTGCTGCAAGTCGAACTGTACAGTTGGAAGGACCCCTTGGGTCATCTAGTCCAACCCCCTGCAATGCAGGCAACCCTACGCCTTTCTTTTAATAAAGACCGAAAACTGATGTTTTTGACAGCCCTTCTTCAGTATCCCTGCACTCCACCACTCCCTTTGGGCCGGTGGATCAGGACACCAATGCGGACAGGCTAGGATCGTCGTGTGATGGGCTCAAACTGCCTTGCCCCGGTGAGCAACCTGGCCGTTGAATTCTGCACCGGCTGAAGTTTCCGAACCATCTTTTGACCACTGCCTCCTTCAAGCAGCCAGGGACCACCCCATCTCTCAAGGATAAATTCATCACCCCCCCCCGGCAGCTGTCTCTGCTCTGCTTGTTTTTTTCAGCCAGGAGGTTTCGACTCTGCCTGTTAAAAATGTCAAAAAGCGTTTCACCTCTCTGCAGCTCCCCCTACTAACAGCACCACATTCCCAGCATAAGGTTCCCCTTCGCAGTCCTCGACCTTCACGCCGTTGCCCAATGCCCCTTCCTCCCTAGCCGCCTGGGGGTGCACAACACCGTTTTGCCCGTGGTTTAAGTCCTCCTGGGTCACCGGTTTCAACTCTAGATTGATGGGCTGGCGGTGGATGAGCTGGTGCTTGTACAAACTCGACGTGTAGCTGAACCGCCGCCCGCAGTCCAGACACGAGTAGGGCTTTTCACCCGTGTGGATCCTCTCGTGCCTCACCAAGTCCGCCTTGTCCCGGAAGCCTTTTGCGCAGAGGAAGCACCAGTGGTTTTTTTGCCCCCTGCGGCTCAGCTTTTTTCGGGCAGCTTTGGTGGCAGCCCCAACCCGGCTTGGGGCAGCTCCCCACGGAGAGTCCCCCGCTGGCCAGTATCCGCTGGAGAAGGTGCCAGCAACGCTCTCTTGGGATGCTGCTGACAGGCTGGGCTGCAAGGATCCTGGCTGCATGCAGGCCTTTTCCTGGCTTGAAGACACTTTTCCGTCACCTGCAGGGAGAAAGAGAGAATCCAAGCAGATGTCATGTCTCGTGCTAGGGAAAGGCTTGAAGAAATTAATATATTTCACAAATGCACACACACAAATGTTGCACCTGCAAGTAAGTGTCTCTGTTACTGTTGTTAAGATTTTCAACTTTATACATTTCAATAATCTTACAATCATTTTAACATTTCAAAACTCATCTTCCTTCCCCCTTTCTCCGGTTCCTTAAATTTATTTTTTGTATTTTCTACATATTCCAAATTAACTTAATTTACTCATTTATTCATCTACTTTAAATATAAAACTGCAGGTTATTACAATAATCCTGTCAATGTCCTTATCTGTAAATATTCAAAAAAACCATTTCCATTCTTTTATTAAAAGTTTGTTATCTTGATCTTTTTCTTCTGGTAAGATTTGCCATTTCTGTATACAGTGGACCCTCGGGTTACATTACCTTCAGGTAATGTAAACTTCAGGTTGCGGACGCGGCAAACCCGGAAGTGGGTCCTTCAGTAACGAAATCTTCAGGATATGGCCAGGCTTCCAGAACGGATCCCATTCATAACCGGAGGTACCACTGTATTCCATAAGTTTTTGTATCTGTTATACTATTATAACATGTCGTTATCATTATTTGTCCAAGACCTTTTCAAACCTCTTAAAGCATGCAAATGGCTTTCATTCTATCGGTGCAGGCGTTTCTTCTCCCTCCACACGCTGTTCTGGGTGGGCTCTGCCAATCCTACAGAGCCATTTTGGGGTGTTTCTGTGCATGCATGGACAGGGGGAAATCTTGTTGCACTAGTGAGACTTATTGGTTAGTGCATGGTGCTGATAACGGCAAGGTGGCAAGTTTGATCCCCGTATGGGACGGCTGTTCCTTTCAACTCTTCGATTCTATGATTCCAGCTCTTTGGTTTATTTATTTGCATTTATATCTCACCTTTTTCTCCAAAAAAAAAGGGGGGGGGAGGTTAGGCTGAGAGAAGGAGAGCGTGCCTGTGTGTGACTGGCCCAAAGTCACCCATCAAGCTTCATGAGTAAGTGGGGATTTGAATCTTGGTTACTCAGGTCCTACTCTGAAACCCTAACCCACCACAAAACGCTGGATCCACCTCTCTGCTTAATCCACCGTTTTACGTTCAGTTGCTGTACCTAGCAGCGTATCACACCAGCTGACCCATCGAGACAATGCAGAGGGCTCTGAAAACTCTCAAGTAAGAGACCAAATCTCCACCACAGAAGTACTGTTTTGGGGGGACAGGGGGGCGGGCAGGTGTGGATGGAGTACGGAATGGGGTAACTGTGCTCCTGAAGGACCAGATGCGCAGCCTGAGAGTCATTTTGGACTCACAGTTGTCCATGGAGGCGCAGGTCAGTACTGTGTCCAGGGCAGCTGTCTACCAGCTCCATCTGGTACGTAGGCTGAGACCCTATCTGCCTGTGGACTGCCTCGCCAGAGTGGTGCACGCTCTGGTTATCTCCTGCTTGGACTACTGCAATGCGCTCTACATGGGGCTACCTTTGCAGGTGAACCAGAAACTGCAACTAATCCAGAATGCATCAGCTAGACTGTTGATTGGGAGCGGCCGCCAGGACCATATAACACCAGTCTTGAAAGACCCACATTGGCTCCCAGTACGTTTCCGAGCACAATTCGAAGTGTTGGTGCTGACCTTTAAAGCCCTAAACGGCCTCGGTCTAGTACCTGAAGGAGCATCTCTACCTCCATTGTTCTGCCCAGACACTGAGGTCCAGCGCCAAGGGCCTTCTGGCGGTTCCCTCCCTGCGAGAAGTGAGGTTACAGGGAACCAGGCAGAGGGCCTTCTCAGTAGTAGCCCCGCCCTGTGGAAAGCCCTCCCATCAGATGTCAAGGAAATAAACAACTACCTGACTTTCAGAAGACATATTAAGGCAGCCCTGTATTAGGAAGTTTTTAATGTTTGATGTTTTATCGCTTTATTATTATTATTATTAATATTCTGTTGGGAGCCGCCCAGAGTGGCTGGGGAAACCCAGCCAGATGGGCGGGGTATAAATTGCTGCCGCTTGTTGTTGTTGTTCAGGTTGACTCACACACACCCGGTTCAATCTCTGGCACCCCTACTTCAAAAAAGAACCAGAAACTAGGTGATGTGAATAGTCCTAACAGGGAAGGGGCGACATCAGTGGCAGCAGGGAGGGAGATACATTGAAAGGGGGTCTTTGCCCAAGGGCTCCCCCTTCCGGCTCTGGCTGGAAGCTGTGGTCCCGGAGGGTAAGCCCAGCCCCATACCTGCACCGTGGCTGCCTTCTACGTGCTTCCTCTGGTGTCTGCTGAGGGCGGGTTTCTGAGTGAAGCTCTGTCCGCACTCGAGGCAGCTGTACGGTCTCTCTCCTGTGTGGACCGTCTGGTGGCGAAGGACTTGCGAAATGTCCCGGAAACTCTTCCCGCACTCTAGACACTCGGGGCGTTTGCGGCCCACAAGCGTCTTTGGGGGTCGGACGGTGATGCTGACACCTGTTTGGCCAGAGGCGGGGAGCAGTATGAGATCCCACACGAGGAAGGAGCGTCACAAGGTTTAAATAAGGTCATTTGCTTACGTGAATTTTAACCGATGCAAAACTTTTATGGAAACTATGGTGCCAAGCAGTGTGTGTGTGCCATACATTATTGAAAATTACCACACGTTTTGGAAAGTTACTCGTTTTCTGTTTATTTAGATACCTCTTAAGAGATCACAAACAAATGTTGCATGATAGTTCCCAAGATCAGGAAGCAGGGTTTTTTTTGTCTATGTGTCTCTACAATTGGATGCCATTTTGAATCAAGGTTGCAGAATGAACCTTTCAAAACTGCACTGGTTTTGGTTTCTGAGAATTATTGAGTACGAGCCTGCTCAAAGTAAGAAATTAAGTAAGTAAATACAGTAGATTAGATAGACAGACAGACAGATAGAAGGACAGATAAAAATATTTTTGATAAGCTAAAAAGGGTGTCTCTTATTAACTGGGCAGCAGATTTTGTTTTTCTGTGAAGGTTAAGTTTAATACAATATCTTGTGAGGACTGTGTCAGGAACATCTGAGGACATTTCTCCTCCTAATATTTCTTCCACTGTCATTTTAGGAGAGGCACTCTGCCTCTCTCTCTCTCTCTCTCTCTCTCACACACACACACACACACACACACACACACACACAGAAGGAACTCCTCTTCTTAAGATAATATTAGAAGAGACATTTCCTTATCTCTCACACAGCAAGAGGTAATCACTTTGTCCCTTGCAATTATTCATAGCAGAATGCGGAAAGTTGAACGCTCTTGATGATCCTGTGGGAAGCCCCGTGATTTCATATTATTGTGGAATATTAAGAACAAGAAGAAGAGTTTGGATTTGATATCCTGCTTTATCACTACCCTAAGGAGTTTCAAAGCGGCTAACAATCTCCTTTTCCCTTCCTCCCCCACAATAAACACTATTAAGTATATCAACACACCAAAGTTGGAATCCAAATACAGTGGTACCTTGATTCTTAAATTTAATCCGTTCCAGGAGTCCGTTTGACTCCCAAAACGGTTCGAAAACCAAGGTGCAGCTTCCGATTGGCTGCAGGAGCTTCCTGCACTCAATCGGAAGCCAATTGGACGTTCGACTTCCGAAAAACCTTCGCAAACTGGAACACTCACTTCTGGGTTTGCGGCGTTCGGGAGCTGATTTGTTCAGGAGCCAAGCCGTTCATGAACCAAGGTACCACTGTATTACATCTTCTATTGTAAGTTGCATAGTTTCAATAATCTGCATGGAGCTGCAGGGTTTGTGCAGTTATTGAAAAGCTTTATATTTTGTGTGTGTGCAGATTCTATTCCCTCATATTCATCTTTTGTGGCACCAGCAAAATTGATTACGGCGTACGTACCTGTGTAATTCTTTTCTTCCAGATGTTTTCTGAGATGTCTGTTGAGTGCCGGCTTCTGGGTGAAGCTCTGCCCACACTCGGAGCAGGAATACGGCTTCTCTCCGGTGTGGACTGTCTGGTGCCGGAGGACATGTGAGATGTCCCGGAAACTCTTGCCGCATTCCGGGCACTCGGGACGCTTGCGGCCAGTGTGGGTCTTCTGGTGTCTATCCAGCTGCCACGCATCCTGGAAGCTTTCCCCACATTCGAGGCACCAGTGGCCATATTCTTCCAAGCGCACAACGGTCTCATAGACCCCCTCGCTGCAGAGCGTGGCTTCGTCCCACCTCTCCAGCGGCTCCGTCTCATTCTCCTGTTCCAGATCACAGCTGCTTTCGAGGGAACCAGGCCGCCCCAATAACGTCCCGAGCATCACCGGTAGCCTGGGACTTCCTCGCTGGAAAGGGCCCAGCTTGCTCCCATTCAGAGCTGTTTCTCCAGCTGAGACCGCATAGCCATCCAGGTTCACTTTCCCTGAACAGGAAAAGGAAACAGAAGAATCAGGCTGGATTTTACTGCACAGTATTTAAAAATATACAAAAGAGCTCTGCTGGACACCAATGCTGCTTCCACATGGCCACATTTTGACGGGGCATTTGCAGGACATCTTAAACACCCTCTCTCATTTTAGCTTCTAAAGCTCAGAGAAATCTGACTCTCTTTATCTCATTGGATGAGCTGCACAATTTTCACAGGCCTTTTGCTCTGCTATTCTGGTCAGTTATGCCTCTATTTACTTTGCTCTAGCAGCTAGCGTTTTCCTAGATTCCTCTAGCTGTTTCCTTCTCTGTGGCTTGTCTCTTCTGCCAAGAAATCATCATCATTAGAATTTATATACTGCCCAATACCCGGGGGTCTCAGGGGGGTTCTAATAATAATACAGTAATAATAATAATAATAATAATAATAATAATAATAATAATAATAATGGTGATGATTTATACCCCACCCTCCCCAGAATAAAATCAAGATATAAAACCACAAAATACCTAATAAAAATAAAAACAGATGCCTTTATGGGAAGCCCACAAACAAGACTGGAGAGCAAACAATCTAAATGGGATCAATGGCAACCACTGCAGCAAGAATCCTTATAGCTAAATACTGGAAGGCACAGGAGCTACCCACGCTGGAAGAGTGGCATACGCAACTGATGGACTACATGGAATTGGCCGAAATGACTGGCAGAATCCGGGACCTGGGAGAAGAGGCAGTGGAAGAGGACTGGAAAAAATTTAAGGACTATCTACAAAAACATTATAAGTTATATGAATGTTGAGAATTTGCTAAGTTATTGGAAAAACATGCTTCAGTATGGAGATTTGAAAATGGGGGAAATTAAGTTATGACTGTGAAAAGTTCAAAATTTAGAGCAATGTTCCTATTATTGGGGATGGAGGATGGAAAGAAGTTAGTCAATAATAAGTACTCTAAATCTAAAATATAATCAGACGAAAGTACAAAAACGCATGAAACAAGGTATTAATTTGCTGTAATTTTATTTTCTACAAAGAATGCAGGGCGCTGGGGATGTGGGGAAGTCCAGTGGATCATGAAAAATGTTTGAAAATGTGAATTTTCTTTCTTTTAACTTTCTCTTTCTATTCTGTAAAACCGCTTTTGTTGAGTTATTGATGATGTATTTGACCCTGGAAAAAAGCAATAAAAAATATTTTAAAAAAAATAAATAAATGGGATCAATGGGATCCATACAATTCATACATACCCAATGAGTTGGGACGCAAGCTGCCCTCCAACGGCGACCACTCGGCCTCAGGGGAGACCGCAATCACCTCCTCCTCGTGTCTCCCCAGTGCCTAAAAGAGCAGAGAGGATTCCCGTCAAGTCAACGCCTCGGAGTCAGGAGGGCAAACCCCCCTCAGGCTCACCCTGAGGAAGATCAAATCTTAAAACTTTCTCAAAAGACCACCAGGTCAAATCAGCAATGATACACTGGGCAAAGGATTTGGGACATAATATCCAGATGGCAGATTGGGAAAGGTTATGGAAAACGGATCTGAAATCTACAGCATGCTGTACACTGAAAATTACCGTATTTTTCGCTCTATAACACGCACCCGACCATAACACGCACGTAGTTTTTAGAGGAGGAAAATCCGCAGGCATGCCACCCGTAGGCATTCCCTCCATAACACGCACAGACATTTCCCCTTACTTTTTAGGAGGAAAAAAGTGAGTGTTATGGTGCAAAAAATACGGTATATGAAAATGATGTACCGGGGGTATTTGACTCCTAGTAAGTTAGCAAAAATGTATAGAACTAGTGCAAATACCTGCTGGGAATGTAAAGAAAAAGAAAAATTATCATATGTGGTGGTCATGTCAGGTAATAAAATCTTTCTGGGAGATGATATATAATGAAATTTTTAAAAAAATGTTTAAAATAACTTTTGTTAAAAAAACCAGGAGCTTTTCTATTAGGAATTATAGGAATTATATTCCAAAGAAGACATTTTATGTATACAACTGCTGCATAGATGTTACTAGCCCAGAGACGGAAAGAAGACAAGAGTCCCTACCAGAGAGGAATGGCAAACTGAGCTGATGGACTGGAAAGCTCAGGAAACAAGAGGACAAAAACTTTATAAAAGGAATGGGATTTTTAAAAAAATTATTTAGGAGACCATTGCAAGCAGATGAAAACATGAGCAGGATTTTAATCTCACTTGTAGTGAAACAATTATTATGGACAATACAGTGCTACCTCGGGTTACATATGCTTCAGGTTACAGTCTCCGCTAACCCAGAAATATTGCTTCAGGTTAAGAACTTTGCCTCAGGATGAGAACAGAAATTGTGTTCCGGCGGCGCGGCAGCAGCAGGAGGCCCCATTAGCTAAAGTGGTGCTTCAGGTTAAGAACAGTTTCTGGTTAAGAACGGACCTCCGGAACGAATTAAGTACTTAACCCGAGGTACCATTGTATGGAGTGATACAAAATATAGACTATGGAATAATATGCAGCTGTAAATGTTGACAACAGGACCCACGGAGGGGGTGGGGGGAAGTCTTGAGATTCAGAGTAATCTCTGTACTGTGGTACCTCGGGTTAAGAACTTAATTCGTTCCCGAGGTCCGTTCTTAACCTGACTCTGTTCTTAACCTGAAGCACCACTTTAGCTAATGGGGCCTCCCGCTGCACAATTTCTGTTCTCATCCTGAGGTAAAGTTCTGAACCCGAGGTACTATTTCTGGGTTAGCAGAGTCTGTAACCTGAAGCGTATGTAACCTGAAGTGTCTGTAATCCGAGGTACCACCGTATATGGATATACATTTGGATTGTTCTAATTTTACATTTCGAAAATCAAATCAAAATGATTTAAAATAAAATCTTAAGACTTTCTCTCCTCTACCTCGGCCTCTGGTTGCTGGCGTCTGAGGAAATCTTCGGCCAGGGCCACCGCCTGGGAACAGGTCTGAGGGCCGCGATCCCTGACCCAGCTCTGCATCTCCGGAGGCAGGATGGTCAGGAACCGCTCCAAGATCACCAGCTCCAGGATCTGCTCCTTGGTGTGCCTCTCCGGCTTCAGCCACTGCCAGCAGAGTTCCCGGAGCTTCTTGCAAACCTCTCGGGGTCCCTCGGCTTCCTGGTAGCCAAACTGCCCGAAACGTCTGCCCTGCGCGTCGGTGCCAGTGTCGTCCTTTCCCACGGCCTCTTTCTCCGACGTCCTGTTTTCTCCAGCGACCGGATTGCTAAAGGCTGCTGGAGCTCCTCTGCCATTGCCCACCAGAAGCTGAGCGACTCCATCTCCGCTGGGCCAATGGCCAGCAACCGTCACGGCCTCACAAGAGCCCCACAGCAACGGTTTCGACGGCTGTTGGCTTCCCCACCCGGAGGGAAGGGGCTGCACGGCCTTTAGGACCTCCTGCCACTGAGTTTCCCAGCGTTGCGCCAAGCCTTCCTCGGACCCCTGGGTCAACTCTTGGGGGGGCACCCAGCCCAGAAGCTCCCCAATGGTCCCAACCTGGATGACGCGAGGGACCACCCGTTCCCCTTCGGATTCCAGAAGCCCCAATTGGGATCCCTCCCTGAGTTTCGCGCCAGGGATCGCCTCGTGTTCTAGAACGTTCTGCAAAGGGAGACTCATGACTCCGCTGGCCCTCAGCTCGGCAGCCATTTTGTCCGGCGGCGTCGGAACACCGGAGGCAATGTCCACAGAGAGCGTAGAAAGTGTTATTTTAAGCTGGAAAGCCCATCACCGGAAGGACGACGAGGGTTCTGAAATGTTGCCACATCGAGACTTGCAGGCCTAAAACAAACAAACAAACAAACAGAATATTTGTAGCCTTCTCCTTAAAGAAAGAGCTAAACAAAGAGTTTACTCCTTCTTATCCAATGTGTGAGAGACTTGTGCCTTTGTGGATGTACCACAGGTGGTGCCAGGGAGGACCTTGCCATCAGTCGCACCTCCTTTAAAATAAGTGCATCTCATGTTTTCATTTGCCAGGCTAATTCCTCCAGGACACATCAGCAGGATCTGTCGATGGTGCTGCAAGTCACTCCGGTCAAATTGTGACTTTATGCTGGATTCAGCAAAATTTCCAGACAGCAAGAAAGAAACTTCTTTTCCCTGAATGAAGATGACAAAAAGTGGAATAAATAAGCCAAACCAAGCTGTTTTGACTGTTGAGTCGTTCTGAAAGAGAAACTGTATTTTAAGCCTTCAGGCTGAGCATCTGCCTTGCATGATCCTGGGCTCAATCTTTTGCATCTCCATGCAGGGCTCGAGATAAGATGGCTTTCCATGTTGATAATAATAATAATTTGGTTTTGGTGTCCTCGGGTGTCTTCCCGTGTAAAAGTTGGGGTGTCTAGGCGACGTTTCGACGAGGTCTCACTCGTCATCTTCAGGCTGGTGCTTTCGGCTTCTTGTTACTGGAACAGAACTCTGTTCCAGTAACAAGAAGCCGAAAGCACCAGCCTGAAGATGACGAGTGAGACCTCGTCGAAACGTCGCCTAGACACCCCAACTTTTACACGGGAAGACACCCGAGGACACCAAAACCTGCATTCCTGTACCCGTGAAAATCTACGAAAGCTAATAATAATTTATTTATACCCCACCCATCTGGCTGGATTTCCCCAGCCTCTTTGGGCAGCTCCCAACAGAATAATAATAACAATAATAAAGCGAAAAACAACATTAAAAACTTCCCTAAACAGGTCTGCCTTCAGATGTCTTCTGAAAGTCAGATAGTTGTTTATTTCCTTGACATCTGATGGGAGGGTGTTCCACAGGGTAGGTGCCACTACTGAGAAGGCCTTGCCTTTTTTCCGAGTGTGCTCATTCAACTTTTCCCTTTCCTCCAGTCACTTTCTTCATGATCAGAGCTTGTGCAGCTAGACTGAACCTTTTCTTTTTCTACATGCACAACGGCAAATATAATTGGCAAGCTTAGAAAAGCCTCAGGCCCTTGGGCAAGGGTACCAGTTAAAAGCGCTTTGCTAAACTGGGCCTGCTGTCCGGATCTAGCAACTGACGCAACATCATGGGAAGAACGTTTCAGTTCTGAGCTAGATGGACCAATGGCCCAACATAGTCCATAGATGGACCAATGCTCATCTCCTTTGTCATTTTATCCTCTCAACAACCCAGTTAAGTACTCTTTAGGCTGAAAGAGAATGTGAGAGGCTAAAGGTCACTCAATGAGCTTTACAGCCACGTGGAGACTTGAACTCGTGTCTCCCTCTTCCTAGTCCAACACTCCAACTCGGCGTGACTGACCTATGCAGCCCTCCAGAGGTCAGGGATGATGCGAGCTGTTGGTGGTTCGACTATCAGACTCGGACCTCAGCGACCAGAGTTAAAATTACCCCACAGCCATGAAACCCACTAAGTGACCTTGGGCCATTCATTGATTCTCAGCCTGACCTACCTGGCAGGGTCGTTGTGAGGATTAAATGAGGAGGAAGAGAACCCATGTAGGCCACACCTTTAGCTCCTTGTAGGAAGAGGTGAGGTACAAATGCAATAAACGAAGTTCTTTCCTCTAACCATATGGCACAAAAAAAGGAATATATATATATTTATATAAATAAAAGAAATTACACTCCCAGTGTTATTATTAGATAAGTGATTCTTGGGAATACCTATTCTTTTTTTGAATCCATTTGCTTACACACCTGGTTAATTCCAGAATTTTATGCTTGCTCACAATCCTACCTGAAGTCACCTTTGCTGTTTCACACCCCTGACACTCCTTAGCAAACAACCTCAAATTTAACTTTTAAGTAAAAAAGCAAACAAACCCCAATACAGAGTTTTGGGTAAAGTGTTAACCTACCACCCCATTATTATCTAAACTAGGACGTCCGGTTGGTTATTGTGTGACTTTCTCCCTCGTTGTGGACCAAGATAAGCAAAACCCGCAAAATTTCTAGCAGTTGCTGTTAGAAATAAGGGTCACAACGATGAGCTTTCGATTTTGTGTGGTTTTTAATTTAAATTGGGCAGCGTTGCCTGCTTAGCTGCCTTCATATATGTCTGTTTCTTTGTGCACAAATTGCAATGCTTGGTGGCTGATTAAAAATATCGATCTACTGTATCAGGATGTTCTATGGCACAACTTCGATGTGTATTAAGGGGGAGACGTTCTTCTTAAAAGCCTCCCCCACTTTTGCAAGAATCCTCTATCGAACCAGTGCCTCTTCACTTTTTCCTCTCTCTCCCCCGCTCCACCCCAATTGCACGAAAGTGACTTTCCCAATCCTAAAACGCCAAAAAGATGCAATGGCAAACGGTAGCATTTATGAAGGAGAAATAAAATACTAAAATACTGAAGAACAAGGAGGAGGAGGAGGAGGAGGAGGAGGAGGAAGAGAGCCTGTAGTTGTAGACAGAGGTGGTGTACAGGGAAACGCATGTACAGGAAAACATACGAAAATCTGTTTTATCAGAGATCTAGGTCAAAAGTGAACGGAAGTGGCAGAGGGCAAGGGTTTGCATCTGCTCTGCACCACTTGCACATTTAGAAACTTTCCCCTTTCCCCCTCCACATGCAACTCACAGCACATCCTGCCCCACTGCGCTGGATCTGCTTCAGCCCCACAGAGGCTCTCCTCTTTCTGGTCTGGCTGTATCCTGCAGCAGAGGGGCTGGGGGGGTGGGGAGCATCCAGAACAGGAAGTGGGCAGCCCTAATTTATTTCCCCTTCACCCCCAACTCCTCAGTCTCTCTAGGAACCAAAACACTCACAATGTAACCCTTCATGTGCCTGTAAAAAAAAACACACACCAAAAAACCCTACCCAACCAGAGACACACCTTTAGCCTCACGATCTTATAAAACACACATTTTATCAAGAGGTTATGGAGTACGATGTCCCCATTTTCATCAGAGGAATGTTGGAGGGAATGGACTCAGCTGTGCAAATCCCCACAGAGCGGGGAGGGGTCCCGAGGGTCATCTAGTCCAACCCCCTGCAAATGCAGCAATTACATCTTGGAAGAAGCTGGGGCTTGAACTCTGGACCTCCTGCATGCAAACCGCGTGCTCTTCCACTGAGCCGCGCGGCACCTCCCCAAGGGCAATGAATGCACTCTGCATATGCTCAGAGGGCCCACCGGAGCCTTCATATTCCTGCCTGCCATGACGCAGGCTCTGAAAAGCTGGGCACCTCATCTGTCCCAAACACATGTTCTGCCCATGTTGGAAGTTCCCCTATTGCCCCGCTCTACCCAGGGCAATGCAACCCCACGATCAACTCAGCTGTGGTACTAAAGGGGTTAAAGGGCCTGAGCTAGAGAGTCCTAGAGAGGACAGGAAATGGCGAGCGCATGGGGGAACTAAAACGCTAGCGGAATCTTCCTGGTGCACCTTTCTTTCCCTTCCCTTCTTTCTTTGGAGGAAGCTGGGCTGTTTAAAGGGGTGGTGGTGGTGTTTAGTCGTGTCCGACTCTTCGTGACCCCATGGACGAGAGCATGCCAGGCCCTCCTGTCTTCCACTGCCTCCCGCAGTTTGGTCAAACTCATGCTGGTAACCTCGAAAACACTATCCAACCATCTCGTCCTCTGTCGCCCCCTTCTCCTTGTGCCCTCCATCTTTCCCAACATCAGGGTCTTTTCTAGGGAGTCTTCTCTTCTCATGAGGTGGCCAAAGTATTGGAGCCTCAGCTTCAGGATCTGTCCTTCCAGTGAGCACTCAGGGCTGATTTCCTTCAGAATGGAGAGGTTTGATCTTCTTGCAGTCCATGGGACTCTCAAGAGTCTCCTCCAGCACCATAATTCAAAAGCATCAATTCTTTGGCGATCAGCCTTCTTTATGGTCCAGCTCTCACTTCCATACATCACTACTGGGAAAACCATAGCTTTAACTATACGGAACTTTGTTGGCAAGGTGATGTCTCTGCTTTTTAGGATGCTGTCTAGGTTTGCCATCACCTTTCTCCCAAGGAGCAGGCGTCTTTTAATTTTGTGGCTGCTGTCACCATCTGCAGTGATCATGGAGCCCAATAAAGTAAAATCTCTCACTGCCTCCATTTCTTCCCCTTCTATTTGCCGGGAGGTGATGGGACCAGTGGCCATGATCTTCGTTTTTTTGATGTTGAGCTTCAGACCATATTTTGCGCTCTCCTCTTTCACCCTCATTAAAAGGTTCTTTAATTCCTCCTCACTTTCTGCCATCAAGGTTGTGTCATCTGCATATCTGAGGTTGTTGATATTTCTTCCAGCAATCTTAATTCCCGCTTGGGATTCATCCAGCCCAGCCTTTCGCATGATGAATTCTGCATATAATTTAAATAAGCAAGGAGACAAAATACAGCCTTGTCGTACTCCTTTCCCAATTTTGAACTGTAGCAGGAACCCCACCCCCACCCCAATCATTCTGTTTGTACAAACTTCACACACTCACACTCACACACTACATACGCCACATTTCTGTTGTAAATTCATAGAAAATCAACCATACATCGGATTTGCACTGTTCCATTTTTATTTTACTCCATATGACAAGGATTATCAAAGGGGGGTGGCTTGGTTCTGGTCAGCCATAATCCCTTCACCATCCCAGGACATCCACAGGAGCCCTGCCCAGTTGCTATGTCAGCCCTGATGATCCCAGACAGAAGACAATCAAGATCACAAAGAACTTGCATATGGGAGTGGATTCAGCATGGACTGAAACAAAGGACAATGATCAGATCTTCCCTCTGGGGGCAGGAAACTGCCAACTCCCCTTTGTCTCCTGGAAGTGACTCATGAGGAGGGGGAAAGGAGGAACCAGCCAGGTGACAGGACACTCAGGTTACCACCACAACTCCTCCCTCAACCCCTCCTTTCTGTAATGTATGCATGTTGGCAACCCCTCCTTTCTGTAATGTATGCATGATGTTTCTGGGGGTGGGCTTGACCTAGAGGATGGGAATTTCAAAAGTTTTTATAAGGTCTTGCACACCATCTTTCTGGGTCTTTCCTCTCTCCTGCAAGTGAGGGGAACACCCTGTTGCAACAATTCAATAAAGGCCAAGCCTACAGGCTGCTGTTTTGCTCCAAGTTATCCTGGTTGGTGTCTTTGTTTTTGTCCAAGGGAGCCCTCAGATTTTTCCGGTAACAGAACCAATCAGTTGTTCCATATCCAGTTCTAACTGTAGCTTCTTGTCCCACGTAGAGATTTCTCAGGAGACAGATGAGGTGATCAGGCACTCCCATTTCTTTATGAACTTGCCATAGTTTGCTGTGGTCGACACAGTCAAAGGCTTTTGCATAGTCAATGAAGCAGAAGTAGATGTCTTTCTGGAACTCTCTAGCTTTCTCCATAATCCAGTGCATGTTTGCAATTTGGCCTCTGGTTCCTCTGCCCCTTCGAAATCCAGTTTGCACTTCTGGGAGTTGTCGGTCCACATACTGCTTAAACCTGCCTTGTAGATCAGCTGCTCTACATAAGGACATAAAAGAGCCTCTGAATCAGGCCAGCAGCTTATCTAGTCCAGCATCCTGGTCTCAAACAGCAAGCAGGATTCAAGCAGTTTCCCCTCCTGTGGTTTCCAGCAATTGCCATGCAGAAGCATTGGTGTCTCCAACCTTGGAGGCCGGTGTTTCCCAAACTTGGGTTTCCTGGTGTTTTTTGGACTACAACTCCCATCATCCTTAGCTAGCAGGACTGATGGTCAGGGATGATGGGAACTGTAGTTCAAAAACAGCTGGAGACCCAAGTTGGAAAACACTGGCAGAGGCAGAGCATAGCTTTCATGGCTAGTAACCATCGATAGGCCTCTCCTCCATAATTTTTAAAAATACATATATACATTTTTATTAATTTTTTAACATAGTCATTTAACATACATTTTTATCTTATACAATTTTTTTAGACTTCCGTCAACTACCTCTGAAGATTTTCCATTCTTTATTGCTTAATCTGCATTTCTTAATTTCTCTATTACTTTTAATTATCCTTAACTAATATTCTCTTCATAATCTTCCTTGCAATATTTCACATAATCCTCCTTACAAAACATATTGCAGTCCTACCAGCGTAATCTGTTTATTACAGTTGCTTTTCAAATAGTTCAGATATTTACTCCAGTCCTCTAAGAATCTTTGGTCCCACAGGTTTCGAATCCTTCCTGTCAATTTGTCTAATTCTGCATAGTCCATTTATTCTCCTCCATGAATTTGTCTCATCTTCTTTCAAAGCCATCCCTGTGGCAGGGAGTTCCATAGTGTGACAAAGAGCTGCATAAAGAACTATTTTCTTTTATCTGCCCCTGAATCTTCCAACATTCAGCTTCATTGGATATCCTTGTAATTTCCCAGCATTTAGGAACTTGAGATGCCCTTAAAAAATTCCCACTCAGCCATGATGCTGACTGCATTAGCTTGGGCCAGCCCTTACCTTAACGTCTAACCACCATTTTGCGGTTGTTGTGAAGATAAATTGTTTGTGTGTGAAGAGGGAGAGAGAGGCAGGCAGGCAGAGAGGGCCCTGCTGCCCCAGGCTTCTTGGGGAACTAGCAAGATTCAATAAAAGGGAAACTATCACAATAATACAGTGGTACCTCGGGTTAAGAACTTAATTCGTTCCGGAGGTTCGTTCTTAACCAGAAACTGTTCTTAACCTGAAGCACCACTTTAGCTAATCGGGCCTCCTGCTGCTGCCGCCGTGAGCACGATTTCTGTTCTTATCCTGAAGCAAAGTTCTTAACCCGAGGTACTATTTCTGAGTTAGCCGAGTCTGTAACCTGAAGCGTCTGTAAACTGAAGCGTCTGTAACCCGAGATACCACTGCACTGACAAAATATCATATTAAATAGCTAGATATATTTCACTTTATTCTCCATTTTATTGTATTGTATTTTACTTTTTCTTGGCAACGGCTGTAGAAATATTATATGCAGCCCAGTAAAGAATGGATACAAAAACTTATGAAATATGCAGAAATGGCAAAACTTACTGGAAGAATAAGAAATCAAGATGCTACGGTAAAATCTGGGTGCGGGGCTACTTTGCCACCCAGCTCGTCGGACTAGGTCCGCGGGTCCCTGAGGAAGAAAATGAGCTCAGCCGGAGACAGGAGCAAACTGGAGAAGATCCAAGTTTATTGCGCAACAGGTTCAAGACGAGATTGAACCCCGAGAAAGGGGTGACATGAACTTTTGAAATTTCCCTCCATGTCCCAGAATACAGTGCAAAATACATCCCAGTTACATCATAAATACATTAAGAAGAGGTTGGGTTACACCGGATTAACATATGGAGGAGGGAGGGGGGAATATGGAGAGCTGGAGATATGGAGGAGGGAGGGGGGAATATGCAGAGCTGGAGATATGCGCAGATAAGCACATCCTGAGAAGACAATGGTCCATGTATGCATAGTCTGTCACCTGGCATCGCCCGAAGGAAGTGCTTGGCAGAGCGATTTGACCAGATTAGGGTCTTGACACCTTGCTTGAGGGATTATGGAGGACAGGGGAGGTGTCATGGGGTCCTAGAGAAATTGAGCAAATTGGCACGTTGATTTTCTATGAATTTTATAGATTTTAGTCCCTTTTGACATTGACAATTGGAAATAAATGGATATATTGTAGCGAAGAAGGAGGTGAAGAAGACATGCCCCCCCTTCCGTATCAGTGAATACATTAAGAAGAGGTTGGGTCACACAGGATTAACATATGGAGGAGGGAGGGGGGAATATGCAGAGCTGG